CAGGGTATGGGGTTGAGGTAGGCCAGAAAAATAAACAACAATCCCAAGTAGCATCTGTTACAAGAGAGAAAGCAAGGAGGGAGTTGCTTGCAGAACCTAGAGTGAGGAAAGCTTAAGAAGACATGATTAGCACCTAATATGTGCTCAGTAGCTGCACGTTGACTCAAGTTTGAGCTGAGTCTTGAAATGAGGGGAAGCTTAGCAGGCAGAATAAGAGGAGTAGGGAATGAACAAGATCACACACATCAGAAGAGTGGCTTTTGAGATTATTTTATCAGCAGTCAACTGGATGAGTTGAAAGGGAGAGATTATAGGCAAGGAGGCCAAGTAAAAACCTGGAGCAGTGATCCTGGTGAAGATTGAAGAGGCCTTCATGTGCACTCAGCAGTTGTTGGGACTGTGCTTAGTTTGCCTAACCTTAACTTGCACTTGGGGGTACAGCGTACGGCTTGGAATTGTTATTTGCATCTCCCCATGAATGAATGCCTGTTCTCCCTCACTAGGGTGGAGACTGTGTCATTGACTGAAATCCTTACAGCACTTAATTCTGTGCTCTGCACCCCATATATCCCCATCAAAAGTTGGGTGGACGATTGGATTCCTTGAGCTAGGGTGGAAGTGGGAGAGCTGGAACAAGAGAAGAGGGAGAAGAAGGGAATCAGGGCTGGTAATGAGGGTCAAAAAGGATTTCATGTTATCTTAAATTATTTTCACAAGTGTAATGATGCCTTTATGTGTTCATGACTTAATTAAATAGTTTTTTAAGGTAAAAAAAAAAGTCACTAAGAATATGCAGTGTTGCTTTTCATTGCTTTTCTATTTTTCTTTTCCTTTTTTGCTTTGTTTTTTTGAGATGGGGTTTTACTCTGTTGCAGGCTGGAGCACAGTGACGCCGTCATGCTCACTGCAGCCTTGACCTTTCAGGTTTAAGGGATCTTCCCACCTGAGCCTTCTGCGTAGCTGGGACCACAGGTATGGGCCACCATGTCCGCCTAATTTTTTTTTTTATAAGAGATGAGGGTCTCACTATGTTGCCCAGACTGGTCTCAAACTCCTGGCCTTAAGCAATCCCCCTGCCTCAGCTTCCCAAAGTGTTGAGATTACAGGCATGAACCAGTGTGCCATGCCCAATACTGCTTTTAATAGTGAAAAGCTTAAAGTACCTAAATATCCAGCAATAGAAATATTACCCAATCAATCATGATACAATTTCAATGGCAGAATTTAACAAAAATGTTGTTGAGGTATGTTCACAGATATAAAGAAGTTAGTAATTTATAGTTTCACTTAAAGGGAAGTTGATATTAATTATTATATTCTGAATTATCACATTTTTGTTAACAAATATATGCACAAAAAGGTTTGAGATACTTTTATATAAGAAGTTTACATTGTTTCTACATCAGCAGAATTCTGTTGTGCTTTCTTTTACGTCTCTGTTTTCTAATTCTTAAATAAAAAACAAATAATAAGAAAACCTAATTTTTAAAAATGTAAATGAAATGAGAAAACCAAACTAAGAACAAAGAGAACAAGGAAGCTAAGAGGAAAAAATGTGCCATGGTGCCATGTGGATGGGATGATCAAGAAAGTAGAGAAAAGATGTTCTTGGAATTTTTTTTTTGAAAGAGATTTTCTTATTTTCCATAAAGTTAAGGGGAAAAATATTTTTGTTCTCAGAGTTTTTCAGTATGCTTTCCAAGCCATCAAATTCCTAAATATAACCAAAGTTGAAGATTTTACAAGTAAGCCAATATAAACATAGTAGATGTTTATATTTCAACATTAACAACGTGACATTGGAGCTGCAAAAGATCTTCTCAATTGGCCATATTTTATTTCTCTAAAAGTTTCCATTTTCTGTCCCCTTTTAAAATACATCCAGTCGCCCGCACCCCCTTTCACCCCTTTGTGGCTTTAAAATGTCAAGAAAAGGCAGAACCAGATTGACATAGTAACACTGGGGATGGAGCATGTGGAAGAAAGGAGCAAGAGGGCGGTGGCAGAATGTTAAGCATTTGGGGAGGAAGGGGGAGAGAAGGATTTTTTTGCAGAGCCTTGCCTCAAAGAGGTACTACTCAGACTTAGTCAGATCATGTATGCTCTTGTGAACATGCAGATTCTGATTCTGCAGGTCTGGGTGGGACTCCCTGGTGATACCCACATTTACTGGTCTATAGACAACTTTGAGCAGCAAGGCCTTAGATTCTGGCAATTTGCTCTTCCACCCCCATCTTCCAACATTTCATATTGGCAGCATTTGGCTATGATAACCTCTTTCTTTCTAACCTAATAGGGTTTTATTTTGTTTGTTTGCTGTTGTTGTTTTGGTCAAAATACCAAATAGTGGAAACTTTTCAGAAAGTCATTCAACCATGAGCAAGCCACAGTTCCAGGCATCCTTCATGGAAGAGAGTAAAATAGGAACTACAATATGGAATGGGTAACAGCCCCTGATATACAAACGTGATTTGTTATAAAGGGTGTGGTGTTGTGGGAAAAGCCCTGGACTGGTTGTCAACAAAACTGGTTTCAATCTTTGCAATTACTAACTAGCTGTATGTGCTTGTGCCAGTCATTTTCCTCTGGTTCTCTGTTTCCTTTCCTGTTAAACAAAATCATTGGTCCACATGGCTTCTAAAATCTTTTCAGCTCTGACGCTTGAGGTTTCTATAAAGGAGATCCTATATCAACAGGAAGAGAGGGAAGGGCCTGTGCCACCGCACGTGCAGCTGCTGAGAATCCTGCACATGTGATATTATTGTGGCGGAATTTCCCCCTTGTCTGCCCAGATGCAAAAGTGTTACTGGAGTGAGAGACTGGGAAACTTGCCTGGTATGAAATCCTAGGACCCCAACTTCCAGATTTTGGCAATTTACAGTCTTGGGAATCAGTCCCAGCCCCTATAAATAATAAGGCATACCCTGTAAACATGCCCTCCAAGAGCCTCCAATGTAGCTCTGGCAGCTTTCAGATTCTAAGGTCCACAATCCTCCATTCTAAGGCCACCCTCAAGTTTTACCTCATTCCCCTGCACTGGTGGAATTCTGCAGTCTCTTGAGCTTAAGGCCCAGCCAAAAAGCCTGAGTGCCCTCCTACTTGTGAACAGAATCCAATTCTTGAAGCAACTCCAGCCCTTCGCAACAGCACCCTTCTGGACCCTGAGCCTCTCAGATACCTAAAACTCAGTTCAGCCCTGTGGCAGTCAAACTTTGGGGACTCGGGCTGGCTGGAGGGTGACACTTCTTTCTCTGTGTTTAAGACAGTCCCATCTACAGAGTGAGGATCAGCCCCTAAATTGATAAGCACGGGGTGGTAAAGCGACCTGCGAGAGTGAGATTACCCAGACTCTAAGGTAAGGTCCTGCAGCTCCACCTCATACCTCCATAGACACACACTCCTTGGCTTTTAAATTATGAAACAGACCTGTTGCTATTCTAAGGAAGTCTCACAAGTCACCTTATAAACATGCCAGTTTTAGGCAGCTTCCTGTGGTTTGCCAAAGGCCAGCTGGGAAGGCAGCCAGACTCCTGCCACGGTCCTGGAACCCCCTTCTCCAGCAGACACTTATTCAGGGCATGACCTCCTGAGGTGCCCAGTTGGGATGCAGGGAACTCAGTGGCTGGGAGAGTTGTTATTTTTCCCTCCAGCCCCAGCCTGGGTTGGGCTGAATGATGTGGCTGGCTGGTACAAAGACTGCTTTTTATAATGTTCTTCTTTGGTATTTTTGGTGTCTGGAGAGGGCTTCCTTTCCTCCCACAGTTAATTAGCAGCATCAGAGCATTTCCCCTTCTCCAGCAGAAGTCTGTCCCCACCCCTGAGGCCAGGCAGAGGGGGTGGCAGGTGTGGCTAAATGCCCCCTGAGGTTAACCTCAAACTTAAGCTTAGAGCCCTACTTCGTTAGAAGTAATGTGAAATGTAGCGCTAGCTTCCATTCTGGGCAGAGTCGGCAAGTGGGCACACATCCCTGGCAAGCTAGCATCCCTATCAGGTGAGGGGACAGAGAAGGGGGTGGGGAACCAATGTGTGTTTGACACATTTGTGAATTGTTTCTACAACAAAGACTTTTTTTTTAAAAACAACAGAGTGAAGCTTTATATATTTGAATGAGAAGCACACAGAAGGACCTATTGTCTGGCGGAAAAATTGCATGAGTAATTGTGCATGACTTCAGACTTCCCAGTTGAAATGTTAGGCGTGTTAAGGATGACTGAAGGCATTCCAGTGTTTTCAGTGTAGAGAAGAGGGAGGAAGGAGCTCCTGGGACTAGGGAAGGCAGGTTGTGTAGCAAGACAAAGGAGATAGTAACCTGAGGAACACTACTCCCCACTTTGCCTCTCTGGTGTCCATTTTTCCTCCATTTAATTGAAGTGCCACCTCCTATAGGAAGCCTTCCTGAACCTATCTCCTTCCTCCACCTGTCACTGTAGGTGTTCCTCTTGATACATATCTCCTATGTTTTCGTTATTTACTCAACTATGATATTATGGATGGGCCAGAGAAAAGTAAGGATGGACTCCAGGACCTGATTCTGCCACTTCCTATATGTCTTACCTTGGGCAAGTTACCTAGCCTTTCTGTGCCTCAGTTTTCTTGCTTATAAAAGGTGAATAATACTTAACTTCTAGGTTTGTTGAGAGGATTAAATGTGTTAAAACACATAAGGAACTAAGAATATTGCCCGACATACAGTACGCATTCTTAATGTTAGCAATTATTTCTTTTTAGTTGCATCCCCTCTTGTTTGCACAGGACCTAAAATATCAGTGGGCAGGGGTGTTCAACCCTCATATGCATCATAATTGCTTGAGGAGCTTTAGAAGTGTATAGGCCTGGCCTAGGCTTCATTAATCTATAGGTGAAACCTGGTAATGGTATTTTAGAAATGTTTCCTGGGTGGTTTTATTATGTAGCCAGGTTAAAAACCAGTGTCACAGATGTCAATGAATGAGTGAATGAATTAACGAACCAAATGGGATCAGAAAGAGCAAAACCTATGCTTGCTTCAGCAGCACATATACTAAAAATTGGAATGGCACAGAGAAAGTTAGCATGGCCCCTGCACAAGACTGACATGCAAATTCATGAAGTGTTCCATATTAAAAAATATACACAGAGAAAGAACAAACCCAGGGTACCCCATCTTTAGGAATGTTAAGGCATGATGATTCTATCTCCTTCAGAAAGTTAGCTTTTCCTGAAACAGGCTTCAAGAGAAAAATATGATAGAGAATGTTATGGAATACATGAAAAGAATCGTAATTCTAGTCATCTCAACATATGAAAGTATTGAAGAAACAGAAAAACAATTGTCAAGAACTCATATTAGAGATCAACAGGGATTTTCTCTTGATCTCCCTTCTGTCTATGCAGATTTATTTCCTGCAGTTGCTGTACCAACTCTAGCTAGAAGTTGAACTTTGACTTTTCCTCTTTTTGTTGTTGTTTTTTTTTGACAGAGTCTCACTCTGTCTCCCATGCTGGAGTGCAGTGGTTTGATCTCAGTTCACTGCCACCTCTGCTGCTCTAGTTCATGCAATTCTCCTGCCTCAGCCTCCCAAGTAGCTGGGATTACAGACTTCTGCCACCATGCCTGGCTAATTTTTGTATTTTTAGTAGAGACAGGGTTTCACCATCTTGGCCAGGCTGGTCTTGAACTCCTGATCTCCTGATCCACCTGCCTCAGCCTCTCAAAGTGCTAGAATTACAGGTGTAAGCACCATGCCTGGTCTTTCCTCTAGTTTTAATTTCTATTTGCAACCCAATCTTTAATTTAGTGGACATAAAAATTTAAAGACCTCAAATAAAGCATTTGCACCACTCTAATGTATAATCATGCATGATGATAGCATAATTATAATTAACTGCTTTACCTAGTTGGTCCACAAAATTTAAACTGATTGCTGCTTGTAGAACATTAAGTCAGGCACCTCAGAATACAAATAAGAAACTAGGCTGGGGTGGTGGCTCACACCTGTAATCCCAGTACTTTGGGAGGGGGAGAAGGATAGATTATATGAGCTCAGGAGTTCGAGATCAGCCTGGGCAACCCAGAGAAACCCTGTATCTACCAAAAAAAAAAAAAAAAATTAGCCAGGCGTGGTGGCATGTGCCTGTAGTCCCAGTTACTTGGGGGACTAAAGTGAGAGTATCACTTAATCCCGGGAAGTCAAACTGCAATGAGCCATGATCACACCATTGCACTCCAGCTTGGGTGACAAAGCAAGACCCTGTCTCAAATGAAAAATAAAAATAAAAAAAGAAACTGTAGTCAGGACTCCTACCCTCAAGGAACTTACATATTAATGGGGAAAGTAAAAATAAATATACTGAAAACTAGAGAAAACAAATACAACAGAACCATGTAGACAATGTCTCATCATGTAAAGCAGGCTTTGGAGTCAGACTTTGGGTCTCTTTATTAGCTGTGTGATCTCAGTTACTTCACTTAACCTTCCTGAGATTCACTTCCTCATTAATCAAATGTCAAATTTGATGCCTACATAATAGGATTATTGTGAGGATTCAAAACCATACTATATGTAAGTGTCTGAACATTTTATTGAATAATAATTTTTTATTTTTTTGAGACAGAGTTTCACTCTGTTGCCCAGGCTGGAATACAATGGTGTGATCTCGGCTCACTGCAACCTCCACCTCCTGGGTTCGAGCGATTCTCATGCCTGAGCCTCCCAAGTAGCTGGAATGACAGCTGTGTGCCACTATGCCGGGCTAATTTTTGTGTTTTCAGTAGAGACAGGCTTTCACCATATTGGCCAGGCTGGTCTCAAACTCCTCACTTTATGTGATCAGCCTAACATGACCTCCCAAAGTGTTGGAATTACAGGTGTGAGCCACCGTGCCCTGCCTAAGGAAAATTATTTTAATTAACAAAGAAGCTGTATTCCAACAGCATACTCTATTGAAAATTTCTTTTTTTAAATTAATTAATTATTTATTTTTATTTATTTTGTTTTATTTTTTTCTGGAGTAGATTGGGAAGTTTTTTTTAAATTGCATTTTAGGTTTTGGGGTACATGTGAAGAACATGCAAGATAGTTGCATAGGTACACACATGGCAGTGTGATTTGCTGCCTTCCTCCTCATCACCTATATCTGACATTTCTCCCCATGCTATCTCTCCCCAACTCCCCACACCCTGCTGTCCCTACCCTATTTACCCCTGACAGACCCCAGTGTGTAGTGCTCCCCTCCCTGTGTCCATGTGTTCTCATTGTTTAACACCCACCTATGAGTGAGAACATGTGGTGTTTGATTTTCTGTTCTTGTGTCAGTTTGCTGAGACTGATGGTTTCCAGGTTCATCAGTGTCCCTACAAAGGACACAAACTCATCGTTTTTGATGGCTGCATAGTATTCCATGGTTTATATGTGCCACATTTTATTTATTTTATTTTATTTTTTTCTGTTGAAACTTTTATTACCAAAAAAAGAAATAAAGAAAGGGAGAAGAGGAAGGAAATCAAGATGGAAAGCCAAGCACAAACATATACTTGACCTCCCACCATAAATTCCTTAAAAGACAGTGAATTAGCTTTTAAAATCAGTAAGTCCCTACTAGCACCAACATACGAGAAAGGAGATAGAAATTTATGATAAAAATCTGGATAGAAAGCAGTCAGGATCAGACTAATGAAGAGAGTATTTACACATTTCTAAACACTCTGATGAAATAATTCTTTCAAATATAGGAGCAGAGAATCTCCAAGCTCAGAGGAAACAAAAAGTATAGGAGGGGTTGTGAAGCAACCATCAGAATTATCAATCTTCAACTGCCCTCTGAACAACAGATTCTTTTCCTTCTTCCTTCACTACAGGGAGTTGCAATTGGTAGTGGTAATGGTGGTGGTGGTAGCAGTGACAGTAGTGGTGGTGGGCTGACCCCAGATAAAACACATAGCTTCATTCTAAGAAAATAAATTGCCTATCTGGGTAGGGTACCTGCTAGGGTGTAAGAGATGGAGAAAGGGGAGCAAGACTGGAAGTAACCCCAGCTACCTTCCACAGATGCAGAGGGAGGCTGTCAACTGTAGCTTCATCACAGTAAATTCCTCCTTATTTTTGGGATTACAGATTAGCAAAGGAAAGAGTCGGGGAAAGGGTCATCCCCAAGCCTTGCTCCCTTTCTGCCTCACACACATAGAGTTCTGACTGACCCATCATTCATGAGAGGAGCCTGTAGGGGAAACAGATATCTCTAAACTGAGATAAAAACTTAAACAACATACCCACTAAATAAGCTATCCATCAATCATAGATATGGATGGAAAGCCAAGGATCCCCAGATGCTTGAGAAAATTCAACAGCCTTAAAAAAAAAAAAAAAAAAAAGACTATGGTGAACAAACTGAAAACTAATCTCAGAGGAAAGATAATCAAACAAACAGAAAAGAACATTAACAAATTTTTAAGTACATCTTCCTTAGAAAGATATATGAGTATATTGCAGCAGGTTGCTATGAAAAGGAACATGTAATTGCTGTGACAAAGGAAAAACAACAAAAAAGGGGAAGTTTAAAAATATGATAGTAAAACTAAATAAAGCAAAAGATGAGTGAATAAGAGAATGGATATGACAAAAATTGGAGATATAATCAAGAAAAATCTGAGGAAATCTCTGAATATACAGAAAATAGTACAAATGGAAAATTTGGGAGAACAATTAAGAGACTTAATTGTGCCGCCCTCCCAAATTCATATTTTGAAGCACTAACCATGAATATGGCTTTATGTGGCCTGTGAGGAGGTGATACATGTTAAATGAGGTCATCTGGGGGGATGGCAATTTAGTAGAATGACACCCTCATAAGAGGAAAAAAGAGACACCAGAGTTTTTTCTTCTCCAAATGAAGATGTAGCTGGAAGGCAGCAATGTGCAAGCCAGGAAAAGAGTCCTTACCAGAAACTGAATTGGCCAGCACCCTGATTTTGGACTTCTCAGCCTCCAGAACCATGAGAAAATAAAATTCTATTGTTTAAATCTCCCAGTTTATGGTGTTTGTGATGGCAGCTCTAGCAAACTAATACAGAGACACAAAGTATTGACGCATGAGGGACTCAATTCATCCAAAAGAAGTGCCAGGAGAGAACTAATTGGTGGGGAAGAGATTCACAAATAAATAATAAAAGAAAATTACACCACAGCTTATAGAAAGGCTTAAGACAGAAGACCTACCAAGTGTCAGCTAAGATAAACTTTAAAAGTTCCTTACTTAGACAAACCCTAAGGATGTTTCAGAGCCAAAAGGACAAAGAGAAAACTCTAAAAGTATTAAACCATGAGAAAGACAGGTTAGCCGAAAGAAACAAAAATGAGATTGGCTGGGACTTTCGTCACCAAGAGTCACTGCAGTTCCCTACTTCAACAGTGCTTGGGGGAAGCCCGGCGCTCATACCGGACCCTGGCTGGCCGCTCACAGCCAGCCCTTGAAAAAAAAGAAAGAAAGAAAGAAAAAAGAGATTGGCTTTCAGACTTCTGAAAGGTAACAAATGCTGGGCAGCAATGAAGCAGTAACTTCAGATTTTAAAATCAGCATTAAAATGAGAAAGCGAAATGAAGACATTTTCTAACCTCCAAGAATTTGGAACATTTACCTCTTATGCACTCTTTCTGAAGAATTACTTAAGGATGTACTACTATGAAAGAAAAGCTAAATTCCAGAAAAGGAGATGCTATCTATATACAAGGAACAGTGATAAGGTGAGAAATTAGCAAACCTACAGTTGTCTAAGTAGTATTTGATGCCCAGTATTGAAAAAGTAACACTCTTGCATTAATTCCCCAATGAAGAGAACAGGAAGTTTTAGAAAATAACATTATGGGAAAAAAAGTTTTCGTTTGCCGGGCGCGGTGGCTCAAGCCTGTAATCCCAGCACTTTGGGAGGCCGAGGCGGGTGGATCACAAGGTCGAGAGATCGAGACCAACCTGGTCAACATGGTGAAACCCCGTCTCTACTAAAAATACAAAAAATTAGCTGGGCAAGGTGGCGCGTGCCTGTAATCCCAGCTACTCAGGAGGCTGAGGCAGGAGAATTGCCTGAACCCAGGAGGCGGAGGTTGCGGTGAGCCGAGATCGCGCCATTGC